TGTACAAAAATTAAAATTTGCTTAATTAAAAGCTTAATAGTTGTTAATTAAAAGCGTAATTAAGTAGTGTTCAATATTCATTAGTGTTCTAATTCAAAGCCGTGTTGTATTCCAATACAGCTCACACAGCAAACGGAATTCGAACACGTGGATGACGGCATTACGTATCAGTAGAATTTGAAGCGCGGACGGAATACGCCTAACCACGCGCCGAATATTGCCACGCACAGTGACGGAATATAGGGATTTGGTAGGTTTGCATTCTAAAGGCTTTTACATAAATATGGCAACATTTCGTGACGTTTCATTGTTGCCGATGCATACTACGGTGTTTTAAGAGTCACCTACAGCAAACAGAACTTGAGTAACGCATATGGTTATTTTTTTATAGTTTTTCATTTCTCGATGCGTCCTTAATGTGACGGAATATACCGTGTTTACCCTAGTAGGCAACTAGGCAAGGAAATTAAAAACTTGTACATTTATAAATTACTTTTTAAAAGCAACACTTCTAAAGAGGCTAATATGATGTTACTTACAGTTAAATATGTACAATGAATTTCTTATTTTATTTTTAACTATTTATTTAGTGATTTTATACCTACAATTAATTTTTTAATATTATTTAGGGTAAACGCAGTATAATATATTCTGACACTTTGAGGACGTAGCAAAAAATGAATGGTTATAAAAAAATCACCGTACGCGCAACTTGAGTTCTGTTTGCTTTACGTCACTCTCAAAACACCGCACTATGCGCCAGCAACAATGAAACATCACAAAATGTTGCCATATTTATTTAAAAGCCTTTAGAATGCAAACCTACCAAATCTATATATTCCAACACTGTGTGTGACTAAATTAGGCATTTTGTGAGACTAATTCCGGCCACACTTCAAACTCTACTAATTCGTAATTCCGATACTCTTGTGTTCAAATTTCAATCTCTGTGTGAGCTGTATTGGAATACAACACAGCTTTCAATTAGAACACTATTGAATATTGAACACTACTTATTTAGACATTTTAATTAAGAGCTATTAAGCTTTTAATTAAGAAAATTTTAATTTTTGCACACAGCTTGGAAGGAGCTGTGTTTGTCTAATTCCAAACTGTGTCGGAATTAGTTTTTATGTGTCTAAAACTGTCTCTTAACTTAATAATCTATTAATTTTTTTACCACTTGAAATCAGCAAATACAAGTATACTTGAAGGATTCCTAATATATTCACAGACTTATTTAAAAGTCTCAAACCATAATATTCTTTCTATACAAACAGTTTATCACTATTTGGTTGAGCAAGGTCAAGTATCAACTTTGACACATTTTTTGATGTTCTTGCTGGGTGACGCGCACTGTCTCTCTTTGGATCTCAACATTTTCCTGCCAGACGGCCCAGACCTAGTGTTTTGGCAATAGTATGACGTCACTATTTCAACCATCAAGGAATGCGTGGAACTAAGAAAATGCTCAATATAAAGGAAAAAAGTCAAGAAATGTCGGAATTACCGCCGATGTTGGAATATACCGCGTTTACCCTAATATATAAAAAAATCTACCTATATTTTTATATTATTCATTCTGTCAATTGAATCAAGAATTGTCTCCAACTTTACTGCAAGTGTGCAAAATTTTACATACCCACTAAAAAATGAACTCATTCTAAGAAATCTGGTTTGCCACTACATAAAGTAATATGGATTGACATTGAATAAAATTTTTAACTATATGAGTCTATATCAGGAAAAGGAAATTAGAAAGGAATCAATTTTAAAAAAATTATTCTTGCCAGATGCCAATACCCTGACAGTGATGGTTGATAGGGTAAACGCGGTATATTCCGACACATTAAGGACTTTAGCAAGAAATGAATGGCTATAAAAATATCACCTTATGCGCAACTTGAGTTCTGTTTGCTTTACGTCACTCTCAAAACACCACACTACGTACCAGCAACAATGAAATGTCACAAACTGTTGCTATAGTTATTTAAAAGCCTTTAGAATTTGAACCTACAAAATCCCTGAATTCCGACGCTGTGTATGACTAAATCTGGCATATTGTGAGGCTAATTTTGGCAGCTCTTCAAACTCTATTAATTTGTAATTCCGGCACCCTGTGTTGGAATTCAGAGTCCCTGTGTAAGCTGTATTGGAATACAACACAGCTTGGAACAAGCTTAATTTAAATTTTTTTTTTCTCTATAAAGCTTTTAATTAAGAGCTATTAAGCTTATAATTAAGAAAATTTTAATTTTTGGACACAGCTCAGAGCAAGCTGTGTGTGTCTAATTCCAAGCTGTGTCGGAATTAGTTTTTATGTGTCTAAAATTGTCACATCTATTAATTTATTTACCACTTGAATCAGCAAATACAAGTATACTTAAAGGATTCCTAATATATTCACAGATTTATTTAAAAGTCTCAAACCATAATATTCTTTCTACACAAACAGTTTATCACTATTTGGTAGAGCAAGGTCAACTATGAACTTTGACACGTTTTTTGATGTTCTCACTGGGTGACATGCACTGTCTCTTTGGATCTTAACATTTTCCTGCCAGATGGCCCAGACCTAGTGTTTTGGCAATAGTATGGCGCGCAATAGTATGACGTCACTATTTCAACCATCAAGTAATGCGTGGAACTAAGACAAAGCTTAATATATAGGAAAAAAGTTGAGAAGTGTTGGAATTACCCACAATGTCGGAATATACCGCGTTTACCCTATAACAAGTTGTCAAGTTCAAATGTGTAACTATGCGCTATTATGTTATTAAAAATGGCTTTTACATGAAAGCGTTAATGTCAGAACTGTAAACTTCTATAATAAAATATTTTGAAATTTGCCCCTAACAGAAACATTAGGTAGAAGCAAGAGGATGAAATTCTAGAAATGATGGTTAATATATTATTTTCAATGTACAGAACCTTGAACAGTTTCTCAGTCCAAAAAATTTTATTGAGATAGAATAGAAAGGAAGAATTAAAGTTGCACTTGAAAGAGTGAAAGTTTAAACACTTGGATTTCAATTAGCCTATGTAATAAATATTAATTCATTTACAATTTGTCTCTAAGTTGATTACAACAAATTTACCTTCATAAAGTTATAACAAATTATGCCAGTAACTGCACCAATTAGTGGCAATTACTAATAAAAGTTCAACAGGATGCACACTGCAGAGGCCAGGGTGAAGAATTTGGTGAATGAGTCGCCAATTTTTGCATTTGTAAACCAAAACTGTTGCTGACAGTACCCAAGATGCATTGCCCTTGCCGCATCGCTGGTTGTCTTCAAGATATGTAGACATGTTGCTGGCAATCTTCAAGATGCATTGCAAACATAATTTTCATTAAAATTCATACAAAACCAACTTTGATGAGTGTATCTTCAACACCCCAGGTATTGCAGTAGACAATTGCATTGCAACCAAAATTACCAAATTGTGCATCATGCTTTGCAGCCTCATCAAACCAAACCAACTGGAAACTGGAAATTTTGAAAACAATGCAGCCACTAGAGTACCTCCTGTTCCATGGTTAGCATTGTCAATGATAATAACATAACAGAGCATAGTTATACATATAGTCTTATATATACATAATATAAATGTCACAGACTATATATACTTATGCATAAGTTCCCAGTTTTCCCAGACCTCACTTTGAAGTATGAGATATTTTTCATTAAGGTGCATGAAGGTAATTTTGTCTTAATCTTTTTTCCATTGGACTCTATTTATTATTTACTGCCAGTCTGCCACACAAATCAATTTGGTCCTTTGACTGTACTTTGTGAGATCTGTTAAGACAGTAACATTAAATGAACCCACACTTCTTCATCTACATCATATATTGTTGCCTTACTCCTACTACATAGCACTTCAATTAATGCATCAGAATTCAGCACTAGTTGATCTTTTAATTTTTCTCTTAGACACATCATGATTGATTAGCCATTTTTTTTGTGCAGAGTCAGCAAATAAACTGGAATTGATTCTGTAATGCCAATTCTGCTTTTTTAAGTTCCTTGAATAATGTTGCTACTGTTGCTCTGTTCGTTCATGATTCTTTAAAAAGTTAAATTTTTGTCTTTGATGATCCAGATGACATGTATGCAATTAATATTTCAATTGCAGGGAAGTGATGCTGAGGGAGCCAACAGCGAATACGAGAGCGCTGACGAGGAAGAATTAGCACCTCATGTTGCTGATCCTGTGAGTACTGATTCTTGGAAACATCTTCAGTAGTGTTACTAATTCTTTATTTAGTATTACTAATTCATTTGCTGTTAACTTGTTCTTTTATTTCTTGCTATTCTAGGATATTTTTGTACCCAGTAATTTACAGCCAAATAATTGTTGATAATATAATAATAAAATAATAATAATAATAATAATTGACTTTTCCTTTGATGTTAATAGTATTACTAACATCATGAAAAGGCTCACTTTAGTATCAAGATCAGCTTTACTTGCAGCAAGTTTCTTCAATGTCTGTGTTTAATTGATAAAATTTGATAGTAATTTACATCATATGTGAAAGATTAATTATTGAATGATTCAGATTTTGCTGGCAAATGCTGATTTCTGCATTATTTCACAGAACAATCCTGATGCTAAACTGGATGATGATGAAGACAGGAAAAATCCTCAGTACATTCCCAAGAGGGGAACATTTTATGAGCATGATGACAGAACCATGCCTCCAGATGAAGAAGGCAATGTTCTTAGGTGAGTGCAGAAAATGCAATATGTATTATGTATTCTATTGCATTGACTCTACATAGCATGCTGAATACTCTGTAAAAAACTAAAGTTTCTTGATCAATCTCCATCAGTTGAGAAAATATTGCAGTTGCACCAAATTGTACAATTGTGTAAATGGGCTTTTAACCTTCACATTGCATGTTATTGCTCCTCTCATATTTGCAACCTATGGTTTAATGGGTTCTCTTTACTGGTTTATAGAGGGAAGGTATTCAAAGTTATTTAAAAATTTAAATGGGGTTAAATAAAGATGGCCTTCCAACTCTCCTTTATAGCCATCCCTGTCAGCCAAGTATTTTTTTTCTCTTTTTTTCAGCTTTATTTTTTTACTCAAGTGCAATACTTAATACTTGAAACTTGAACCTAACTGGGAGCTTACTGAATATCAATAACCTAATACAATCATAGCAGCAACTAGCCAAACTGAGAACTCTAACTTAACCCTTTACTGCCCGAATTTCTTGGTCAAAAATTGCAAATTTCACTTTTCCGGTTTTTAGTCTCACCTTAAAGCTGACATTCTGACCTATTCAACGGTACCAAAATCATCTGTATGTTGATTTATGCCTTGACAACAGTTCGCGAAAGGGTTAGGGGTGGGGGAGTTCTTCACAAGATATGGTCCTTACGCATCGAATGATATGCGTCTCGATGTTGTAGCTTGAAAATCCTAGGAGATAAATTTCTACAGTACCCCCTTTTTGGCTGTTTTCTAAGAATTTCACGTTTTCTTTCATTTTTTTCAAAAATTTACATGAACAAAAAAGTCTTAGATTGATCTTTTACATATGTGTACCAAGTTTCAAAGTGATCCGTCTGTAAATAACTGAAATAAAATTTTCACAAGAAATTGGAAACTGGAAATTTTATTTCGTTTATTTACAGACAGATAACTTTGAAACTTGGTACACATATGTAAAAAATAAATCTAAGACTTTTTTGTTTGTGTGAATTTTTCGAATAAATGAAAGAAAACGTTAAATTATTAGAAAACCATTATTTTTTAAAGGCGACTTGAAAGTCCGATTTGGTGGTAAAGGGTTAAACCTGATTGGCCAGCTAGCCTAGCCACAAAATCTGACCCCAAAATCTATACATACCATCTAGGTAACAAAGAGGTAAACAGATGGGGCATCACCTAACCAACCAAACTGGTTAACCTAACAGACAAAACCTAACCAAACAACCAGGGCATGGGTCACTTAAGAAAGAACTTTAAGATGTTTCTGTAAAATATTTATATTATCAACACTCAATACAATCATTATTAACACAAACATCAATACTAACTTCCAAACATAAATGCACTATCAACTATTAAACAGGTTAACAGATAAAATCATTTCTCATCTATAATGGGATATCAAAGCCTCTGCATTAAAATCTTCATCAAGGAATAAAGTAGGAACATACAAGGAATATGTTAGTAGTGATTATTGGAACATTGGCAACTACTCACCGACCACAGGTACCGTACTACTAGTGTGGGTACAAGCACTTGTATGAGCAGACTTACACATTGTCCCATTGAAAACAATGACATGTTAAAATAATGGTCTACTAGAAGGCAAAGAGAATGAGAGGGTGAGCACTGATCATACAAATGGGTAATATTCAATATGAATGTCAATATTCAACCTCATTATTAACTTTGAGCTGGGGAAGCATTATTTCCTGCCCATAAAACTGGGACATGTATCCAAACCTTTGAAGTAATAATTTATTTGTAATGAAATTCATAATTCATGTCATAATAACTAGCAATGTCTTAGAGGCAGAAAATTCATTTTATAATTTTCTTTTTTTGAATATTCACATAACATTGAATTAGTTAAAAATGTTCTCATTAATTATGACTTTAGCCTGAAACTTTCAATGAGCTTTAAAGAATTTTTTAAAAAATTGTTAGTGAAAAATTATGATTCAGATTACGCAATTTATGTCTTTTTATGGATCCTTTTTTCTACAAATAGTTGAAATAATTTGTTTTTTTTTTGTCATAATTCTCTCTGTCTATTATTCAATTTCTTTTTTTTTTTTGCTTGGGGGTCTTACGTGGCATAAATTTGCTGCTAAATCGTTATATTTTATTGTTTTCCTCATTATTTCTAAAGCATTGACTAAATGGGTCCTGATTGTGCAGAAGTGACTTGCTGGAGGACACAACTGCGCCTAAGTGTTACCCTGGCTCGACCCTGCCTGTGGTGTCCATCAGCTTGAAGGCCAGTGCTGATGCTGAAACTAGTGCATTGGCTGGCTCTGCCCGCTCTAAAAAGGTATTGTTGGCTTCTGAAACTGGAAATTTCCAACAAATTCGTTCCTTTCACTTTGATTTCAATTGTTCTATGATGTTTACAGTGTATTACAGTCAATTGTTTACAGTGTATTTCACTTAATAACAGCAGTATATTTCCTTCAATATTTTTATTTTATGCACTTGTAGATCTTCCCATTTTATATAAATCTTGAGTAACTAAACCATATGTTATGAAGCCTTGATCCTTGTGCAGTCATGGCGTGGAGATGAAGGCAAATGGTCGCACGACAAATTCCAAGAAATTGACCAGGCGCCCAAGCCGCGTGAAGAGCTTGTGTCTGTGTACGGTTATGACATCCGCAGTGAAGAAGGCGCTCCTCGTGCCCGCAGACGGAGACGATATGGGTGTGTGCATTAAAAGACAGTGGGCCGAACTACATATCCAAAATATTTAGGAGTTGCAGAGTTGGTAACTCTGTCATCTGAGGAAAGATGGCTTCTCACGCCATCTTTTTGTGATTGGTGGACTCAAGTCCACCAATCACAGACGAGAATTGGCTGCTACATGTATATACTTACGTGGCTTTTGGAAGTAATGCCCTATCTTGTTAGTTTCAGTTCCCGGTTTTACAGTTATGGGTTAGGTTAATACACTTGAATTTAATAGAAAAACTATTTTATATGTAAAATATAATGTACATCGGCATAATAATTGAAACGATTGCAAAGATATTACCTTGTTTGATTCTTCAGTAGGTAGGTACTAAGGTAGTATAGATGCCCTTGAACAACTAGAAGTTAAATACTTATATTTTTAAACTTTTCTTTTTGTTTAACGACTAGTTTGTTGAGGAAAGAGTACTTCATGTCAGTTTTTGATGAATGGCTTCTTGTAGACCTGTTATTCGTTTTTAAATATATAATGAAGATATTTCATGCCTCAGAATTGCTGCATATTTCTTCAGGAATGTGAAGTTCCACAACATAATTTCTAGTTGTTCAAATTTGTTTATCATGCATGGTCATTAATTTAATATTATACGAATTTCTGTATCATATAGTCACAAATTTACATTGTATTGACGTGAGAAACGTTTCTACAGTCGCGGACCTAACAAGTACACCCGGAACTGGGAGGACCTGGATGCCTACTCACGCCCTGCGCGTGGCGGTGCTGCTGTTGCTCGTGGAGGCAAGCCGATGCCCCCACACCCTGACAGGAAAGATCAGGACTTCCCTGCTCTAGGGGAGCCCGGCGACGCCGGTACTGCACACAGAGGTGGGTGGAAATGTTAAGAATAACATGAAGTCCATTGGGGATCATCTTGTCTTCTCAACTCGTAAATAAACGGAACACCACCCGTAGTGCCTACTGGAACAGTCCTTGCAAATCAGAATGCAGCACTACACTAAAGTATAATGAAGATGAGTTGTTACGATTGAGTCACAATAGGTGGATTACATTCATCTTTCTGTTTTTGCCAGTAAAGCTGGATGCATGGGATGGATTCAGAGAGATTTGAGATCGCACTATTGTGCTAGAAACTATGCAAACCTATGATATACCCTAATAATTGCATTTAACTCGGCCCAATTGATTAGCATACACATCAAAACCAATGATTAAATGTAACATTACAGGTAACAAGTTACATTGTACTTTTCAACCTAGATATAATCCAATCTTTCAGTTGATTTTTTTCGCTGCAAATGTTGCAGTCCTATTAACTTAGGCACAACTTGAATCTGCATTGCCATCTAATTCTATTATGTTGATATTTTTACTGAAAAGTATTGAATTGTTTGTGGCATGTTGTCAAGTTTGCTTGGTAAATATTTGTTGTCAAGTTTACTTGCGTGTTGTCAAGTTTAGTAGAGCAATTTTTTTAATCTGTAAGCGATGTAATCATAAAAAATGTAAAAAAAAAATTATCTGAAGCTTGAAGTCTCGCTATTATCACACAATTTCCCATGGCTTGTTAATAACTAATTGCTTTGTAGTGAGACGTGCGTTCGAAATTGATTTTTTAAAATTCAGACTGAAATTCGCACTACCGAGAAAGATTTGTAGGAAAATTTTCTTTATTCAGACTGGAATTAGAGAGATTTATTATTTTTTCATTTTTTGTATGGAGTATTAATAATATGAAATAGTGATCAATGTTGAGTATAAATTGGGCGTTAGGTTTTTCCTAAAAATGATAGTAGCTAATTCAGACATTAATGAAGCATTTCATGAATCGGTGTAAGGAGATTTTTTTTCTCACATTACCTGGTCATGTGCAGGCAGTAAAGCAAACTCTGAGTCGCGTGAGAGCGGCACTGAAGTGAACATGAACCAGGGCGGCCTGCAGCAGGAGGCCCACCGCAGTCCTGCCAGGCACAAGGGCGGCTCCGTGGTGTACACGAGCCAAGAATATCGCCGCTCCCGTCCTGAGGACCGAGCTGCTGGGGAGGAGCAGAGCACGCGAGGCAGAGGCAGGGGCGCCAGGTCTTCCCGAGGGAGAGGTCGAGGAAGCAGGAGTGACAGAGGGGGGTGGAAGGGCAGATATCCTGGTGGGGAAGAAGCCTATTCCCAGCATGACAGTCGGTGAGTGACTGAATGATGAAGTAAATAAATTAGTTAGTTTCATCTTCTCGGCAAGGAGGCCAGGCGGTTGAGCGCAGCAAAATTGGAGCAGAGTTGCGTGTTCAAGACCCACAGCAAGCTGTGAATGTTCTTTGATGTTCAGAATAGGCAACAGGTCTAATGGCCTAATCAACGCTGACACCGCTATACTATGCGCTACGACGCAGGTTAAGGCAACGCGTTGTACTATGTGCTCTAAGTTTTGATTAACATCTTAGCATGTCAGTAGTCTCAGTTGACTATAAATCCTGAATATTCTCCCACTAAATATGACCAAACGCCATACTACGGGATGAGAAAAGTAACTTCTTAATGTCTGACGGGAAAGAATAAGTTTACGTTTCACAATATTTGCCTTAAAAGAACAGCCTGTCCCTTAATATCTAAGGATTCCTCACAATGTTGGCTAGGGCTCTGGAAAATGGCTTCACAATAGTTCTCTTATTTTTTATTTTCTTTATATAACGCGTCGTTCTGACTTCCATTTCCTGGTGCACAGAATTCGGATACAGAAACAAGTTTTTAGCTCAATCAGATTCTGTAGTCAGATATTCTGATGCCCTCTCTATTTTTATCAAGTCTTCAGTATTTTTCATTGTGTTGTATTTGCTCCTTGGTTTCCAATCGATCTTTTTTACATCCTACATTCAAATTAAAAAAATTATTTTATATCAAATTTTTTTCTTTTCATCACTTCCTATATCTCTGTTCCCAACCAATGGGCGTTTCCCATATTCTAGGGAAGCACTGGCCTCAAGTCTGTGGTGTGGTCCTATACTGTCCAGTAAACTCTTGGCTTATACGTTATAATCTCACTTTCTTGAATCTGGGCGTGATCCTATCCTGACAATTAAACTCTCTCAGTGCTAGTGATGACGTCCGAGTGTCGGGTGTGCGAGGTGAAGGCAACCCTCCTGCTGCCCAGCACCACTACCAGCAGCAACCTCGTGAACAAGGCAAACATCAACAGTCGCCTCGATCAGCCGCCCGACCCCGCAACCCTGAAGCTGGGGTCCATGACTCGCCTAAACGTCGGTATCTTGTTGCTGGCTAGAAATAATATTGAATTGTTGAACCAGTGATCCAGTAGCGTCACCAGTCGTGACGGTGATCTATTTCTTCTTCAGTTTCTGCATGACTTGATTTGTAATTTGAAAGCTTCAAAATTTCACTTTTACTTAGAATTTATTCACTTTTATTCACTTTATTTATATTTAGAATTTATTTCACTTTTCATTAGAATTTATCTAGATTGTGAGCTTGATTTGAATTTTCAAGGTTCGACCGTCATCCGAAATTGAATTATTTCAGAATCTAAAGTTGAAAGATAGTGTGGCTCTGCTGATTACTCATCCTTCAAGTAAACTGTAAAGTTTCCCTTGATCTCCTCTTGGAAGAATTTTGTATAAATAACGCTCAAGTTAAAGTCTTGTTTATGGGCCCTTGAAATTAATTTTCTTATAAAGAGAAAACTTAGAAAAAAAACGTTTGAGAAACTTTGGTGAATTTTCCTCAGTCTTTTTCCACGCGTAATTACTCTCTCTTCTGGTGTCGGTCCTCTCTAACGTCATCTTCATTCATTCCGTTCAAGATGTGCCTCGGAATGAGCAGCCAACTACCGCCCATCCGCCGGGCAGACAACAATATGGTGGACATCCGCAACAGTCTCAGCCACAACACTCGCCACAAACTCAGCAACAGCATCATCAGCCACAACAGCCTGGCTATCATCAGCCGCAACAGCCACAACAACAGCAGCAACAACAGCAGGCGTTTGGAAGAGGCACCCAGAAACGGTACTCCAGCCAACGAGGTGTTCGGCCCGGCAACAACGTGGCTGCGGTTGACCGCAATGGCTCCGTGAGTGGTAGCAACAACTCGCACTACACACCACACCCGCACCACAACTACTACTACCACGACAACAGCACCACGCCACCACCACAGCCTGCTCTGGCTGACGCTGGATTGCATCATGGGTCAGGTGAGTATGAGCAGCGTAAGAGTTTAATAGGTTTTTCATTACTCAATGTGCTTAGAAGTTTCTTGGTTGAGCTTTCATCCGGCCTTAAGTCTTATGCTGTAAATGTTATTTTTGTTATTATTGCCATATCAGACCACTATTTCATTAAAAGTCACATAAAGTTACTTGTCCCGTGCTATATTTTTTGCACCTGATCTAACCACCATTTTCTAAGTTTCTAAACCTTATCACCTAAAAAATGGACAGATTTCGGCGAAAGTGCGGCTGAGATCCTGATGTGCTAGATTCGTACATGGCAGAATATCTTCGGCATTTTTAGTTAGCCATTTTTTGCCATTATTTCGGCATTAGTTTAAAAAAAACGTGCGGCTGCATAACAAAACATTTCTCAATATTATTAATTTCTATGTTGACTAACGTGATTCACGAATGCACAGGACTTGGTGTCAACGGCGGAGGCTCTGGCGCCGTTATATATGACGGGACCAGCAGCAACGCGACTGCTGCACGCCACGCCCCTTCGGTCGTCCCCGTCGCCTCGACGCAGTTCGTCGCATCGGCGCAGTTCGTCCGTGACCCAAGCGCTTACATCGGCGCAGGCGCTCTGGCCGCCCCGGCACCCGTCCTCACACGGATGTATACTCCTGTTAGTGTGGTAGGAACGGCGCCTGCTGAAATCGTCTCACCAGTGCTGGGACCAGCGTCAGTAGCAGCAGCAGTGATTGCTCCTGTGGTGACAGCGGTGCCGCAAGCCGGTGTCGTGGCGCGAGCTCCCTTCATCGCGCCAGACGCTGCAGGTCTCATCCCATGCCAGTTCAACGCCACGCCGCAGCCCACACCGCCACCGCAGTTCCCTGCTCCACACCCTCCGCAGTTCCCGGCGTATACGTCCTACCCACCACCGCCTGCTAGTGAAGGGGTGAGTTTAAAACCTGCCCCTTTACTCCCTCTTCGCCTCTGCGCTTGCAAGTTGTTATTCATCCTTAGTCCAAAGTATTGTTATCGGTGAAGCGGATGACTCAGTGAGATGATTAGCTTCACACATACAAACTACTCAAGAAACGCTTTAGTACCTTGAAGCTCTTGATTTTTATGTGAAAGACAGTCGCGGGTAGTTGCAATTAGTTGCTGGTAGTAACATGTATCATTATCATCGGCAAGTTGTTCTTTACGACTGAAATCTTATTTTTCATTGTACCTGAACCTCAATAGAAATCTAGAAGTTCTGTTAGAAAATGCATATAGTGTTTAAATCGAAATATCGAAATAAACAGATATTTACTTCTGTAATCGGAAATGAACGAAAGTATAATTAAATTAAATTACAATTAAATTACAATTAATAATGTAATCAGCCGAGGGTGATGAAAATTTCTCAATTAAAAATGATAATGCATTTTCAGTTCTGCTATCCCAACTGCTAGACCATTTTGCGTATTGGGCGTTTTTTTGCAGATTGCATTAAAAATCATAAAGGCTGCAAATAATTTTTTTGAAGACTGCAAGAAATGCAACTCATTAAAAATTACTCAGTTTCATGGTTTATATGTTGTTTTGTTAACTTTGAACTTCTGACGAAAAAATAATTTTTATTCTAAATATAATTCTATATTCTAATAATAAGTAACTCTTGGTTTAAACCAAATTATATCAGCCCAAATAATCAATATTTATAAAAAAATATTTTGAATATAACTTTGAACGTCACGCATATGAAATAGTTTAAAAATGTTGAACTCGGAAATGATAAATTCGTAAGCCCTAGCTAACAAAACCGAATATAATATCGTGTACGGTTACCTTAAACAGTTTTCCTATTTACCACTTAAAACAATAACTGTGAGTGTGCGTTGGGAACTTGTTGTGTATTTTATATTTTTATTGTTCCACGCTTCCCCAATATAGCCTGACAAAAAGGTGAATGTGGCTTTAGCTCAGGAACCTTTCGCGAGCTTATCTTAGTTTCCATATTGTTTAACACTATAACATACATATTTAATGAAAAAATTCACGAGTACAAATTAAGAATATTGATCAGAAACAAGTGTCGGCATTGAATTTTGTGTCTGAAATGTTGTTTGACCACTAATTGTGTTGCAGACCCAGCCTCAGGAAGTATACCGCAATGGTGTGATGTACTACAACACCCAAAGTCAACAGCCTCAGCGCTCAAGCACTACGTTACAAAAACGCCCAAAGGCAGCGATTCCCATCGTACCTCCTCCTGAAGACCTCGATGGTGAGAAGAAGGATGGATCATCTCCTCATCCCGACGATACCGAGCAATATCAATACGAACCTGATGCCATGGGAGCAAGTGCATTGCAAGACTCGTTACCACCAAGCGATATGAATGCTAAAGCTACTCAGCATCGAACTACTGTTGTGGCTGCCGACAAGCGCGGCAGTGGCCATGCTGTTCCGACTGATTTTACATTCGAAGAAGCAGAAAATGTCGAAGTTGTACGTGAAGTTAACCCTAGTGATCACTGTGCCATCCAGCAACTGCAACTTCAGCAGCAGCTTCAACTCGAACAGGAAGCAGTTCTTTCTGGAGGTGTGCAAGATCCGATAAATGATGTTATTCAGACTACTACATATGAAAGAAGTACCGATACTCACGCCGCTGCTGATGAGATGGTCATCGTTGACCATCCTACTGGTACTGAACGTTGCGACGTTTCCCTCCCTGTTGATGGAAGTGGCATCGTTGCCCACACTGCTGATGCCGCTGCAGATAAAACTTCATCCGTTGCTAGTGCTACTTCAGAACTCGGCAGTTCAAGTGCAGAGCAGACGAAAGCCTCATCGGTGGATGAGAGCGGCAACTTGACGACCGAGAAAGCCTTGAGTGAGAAAACCGCGGCTCTCTCTATGGCTGATGTTGTTGACACGGACAATGCAAAGTTTGAAGACAGCGTCGAAGATTTAGAAACTGTTCCGTGTTCGAAGTTGACAGAAACTCTGGCAAACGAACAAGTTTCTGATGGAAAAGGGAAGGAAACCTCGATTTCTTGAATGCTTACACTAGTAGTTATTTCTCATGGTGTCTCACTGGGATTATTTATTTAACTAGCCACCTAGCACTCCCTGTAGATTTTCATCTTTTCTGTTTCTGGTTTGGTCTATTATTTTATGACTGGGTAATGCCTTTCCTTTTAGATAAGTTTTCAACTATTTAATTTTTTCTACACTTTAGCTTCGAAATTTCTTCTTTTGGAATTGTGCTTCTAAGAATTCTAAGATACCTATTAAGCTTCTAGGTAGATGATATTGTGAACATAACTACTTCACGTCTTTTCCAGCGTTGTCCTGCATCAGCTTTGACTAATACATTGAAATTGAGTGTACATTTAAACCGAATTACGTAGAATGACTTCGTTATTCTCAGAACCAATTAGAGATGCCAAGGAAATTTAAGCACTTGAAAATCACTGGGTATTTCAAAAGTTCGAATTTGGTTATTTTCTCTGCACTGTTTACTTTTCAATGATAGGTAAATTTTATATATTAAATTTAGAAGCCCAATTAATTGACTAGAAATTTACGCGAGTTCATTGGTGAACATGTACTTCTCAGTAGACCTAATCATGACCTATGTGGAGATCAATTTGTTAATATATATACCGCAATTCCTTAGTAAATGTACATCATTCGCGCGGGGCTAAGCCTCTTCTCTGATGTAATGTTCTCACCTCGTGTAATTGTACGGGAAAACGACCTAAAATTGTTTTTTTTTCTTTGCGTTTCTATCAGAACTCGATATCAGGATTCTTGTTTAAATAATTATAAATGTTTCTTGTATTAAGTTATTGTTTGAACGTTTCATAATTGTTTAAATAATCAAAAATCACTTATGAGGAAATGGACTGACATCACATCAAGAGGGAGCTTCTAATATGCAAGCTGTTCAGATAATTTTACATCATACGTAGAATATTTATGTATTGTTTTGGTTGTATTTTGAATACCCATTGATACTGAGCTATGCATTGAAAATGACGGATATCTGACAAGATAGGCGCTCTTTAAGTTTATTGTTAAGAGAGTTCAGCCTCACCTTGATTATGAATACTAATTTTAGAAAAGGCTAAAGTGATACTCTTAAAATCATAACAGACTTTTTGCCTCTCCAAAGTGAATGAATTTCTATGTTTGGGATAATTTTTGGGAACTGATACATATGAAATTAACAAGTTAACAATTTTCCATGCACATCATGTTATTGATACCAAAAAGTAATAAATCGATTCAGTTATATTGGGTGAACTTTCATATAACTTGGAGGTATCGAAATCTTTTGCTGGACTCTTTTGGCCTGTTAAGCGAATATTTTTCTCTAGTTTAATTAAGTTTTGATCAACTCTACTGCGTTTCTTTTTGTCGATCACCTAAGTTTTACAGATCTTCTCCAGTTGAATAGTTGATAGCGGTTGTAAAAGAAAACAGTTGCTGGCTTGAGTTTAAGTGGTACGACGTGACCATTTCAGACATGAAATGGTACAACGTTTTTAAATTCGTGTGTCATCGCGAATTTTATTTGCTGTGCAGGCTCTCGATTTTGTACACGTATATTCTGAAGAATAAATAATTTGTCAAGAAATTCGTAATGGTAGATAAACTTGAATTTCCAAGAATCTAAAGCTAAGTCGTTTTCATAAAGTGCTTGTGTTAATTTTATTTGTCATTCTATCAGGAATGTAACACAGAAGTATTAACTGCTGAAATAATTTCAGATTAGCTAATGAAATTACTTTTGATTGCACAGAAACGCCCCGAAAAATCAAGGTTCTGATTCATTTCTACTGTTGATTTCTGGCAGTTCAAGGTAATACTGATAGAGTACTAAGTACATTCTTAACATTTTTCATCTTTAGACTCGAGAGTTGTCATTGCTTACTGCTTTTAATACTTTGCTACTCGTACTATATACGTTTTTTTCTATTATTGTGAATCCGATGATAGTCTTTACATTGAAATTTCAGCTAAAGTTGAATTTGACATTTTAATGTGAGTTTGATGAAGAAATACTTCCAATTTTATAATATTCGCTCCGTGCGATTAAAATTAACCTATTTATTTTAGGTCTTCTCAATTTTCTACTATTTTCTCTTGATATGTGGCCCTGTCGTGTAAATTGAGTGATCAATGCTTGATAACTAATGCCAGCGTTACTCACTTAGCTTGCTTGAATTTCTTTATCTTTTCTCCACTCCGACAACGTAAGTTGCCAAATCAATGGATAAATCCATTCGTTTTCTAACATGACGGGTCCTCTTCTAATCTTCATCAGAGTTAATTGAAAAAAAAATTTCCCGCCTTCGTGTCCCAAACGGCTTGAAGTGTGATGAATGAAATAGAAGGGTCTTGAATGGCTCATTTTTTTCATGTTCGGCGCTTATGAAGGTCCAGGGCCTATACTTTCAAAAAAAAGCTAAGAGATCGTAAGTTCATCCGCCAATCACTGACGGCCTTTCAAGCAAAATCCACCAATCATATACAAGAAAATAGAGCGTAAGTACTTACGTTCACTCAGCGAGTTATGAAAGTATGGCTGCAGGTTTATAAGGATTTTTCTGTGAAAGTCCGAATTGCTAAGATGTAATGCTGGTGAGAGAAGGATGTATCCTCAAGCATACTCAGGGAGGCTGTTACGTTAAACTTGTTATTCTCGGTCCTCAATTTTGAACAATAGGAGCATCTGTACAATAGTTTGATATTTCTTGTATCGTTTTACTAAGAAATTCGAATTGATTAGCAATTGCGAAGGCCAAAACTTCCCTATTATGGGGGCTGGTTACAAAGATGAAGTTGGCCATCCTTCCCACTAACTCAAATTACATTATTAAATACGCTTTGTTCACAATAAATGTTTTTGTTCATCAACGTGATGTATCTGTAATTCTAGGGTTGATGTAGTGTCTCACTGTATTAATTCGTTTGAAAGTACATTTTCAGGTAATTAATGTCGTGAGTTTTGAATGTTTCTAATGAGTTAATTTTTGTGTTCACGATGGCTGCTACAAGTTTTCAAATGTTGGCGGCAATTAGAAGCAACCGGATGGTCGGCTCTTAAGATATAACCGGTGTGCACGCATTGCGGCTAGGGACACCGCTAATACCATGGGGTTAGTTACTTTTTATCCTTACTTCATCGTGTTCTACGAGTGATTTGAGATTTGTGAAAAGAATTTGGTAGAAATATGTACTTTGCAAACTGAGAAATGAGCCAGCATAGGAAATTTATGAAAAATTGAAAGTTCTTCATTGAGGAGCGCCTATGTCATTTGTTCCTCCTTGAACGGTGTACACAGAAAGGAGTCTTGATATGACGAGAACTTATCCTGGGAGGTTTGTTCGAATGCGTTACCTATATGATCGTTTATAATGAGTGCCGGGAACTTTGCCAAATTCCGCCGTCAAGCTACACCAATTGAGCTAATGTTTTTTTTTTGCTCCTCTCGAGCTAAATTAATCAGGAAGGTTTGGCTGTTTAATCTGCTCTTAGCACCACAATACTGACACTGTGTAGGCTTCTTGCAGAAATTCTGGTGTATCGATTCGTCCCTGAATCTCTTCTGCGACTTAATTCTCCTTTGCCCAAATGTCCCAACTATTTTAAAGGTTAAAAATTCGTGTTTGATGATTTTCTCTCGATCGAAAACGCTCTCCTGAAAACTACCTCGTGTTTAGTGCTTATGAAAATTGGAAATCGGATACTTGAAATTAAACGAATGTGACACAATTTGTTCTGCTATTTAGAGGTATGTCCAGTGTATGTGTTGTTTGAGACGAGATGTTGCACATTATTTATTCTTTAATTATGTTGTAAGCTGTAACGTTTGTTATGAGGCGATACTTCAATTAATGCAGCAGGTAGGACTAGCTCGGTACTGCTGATGTTCGTCGGGGCTAGGTGGTCTGCTTGGGTTCGTAGTTTTTGAACTAGTTTGGGTAATTCTTAACCTATCATTGGTGCACTTCTCCATCGTTCGTTCGGTTACTCTTTAGAACTTATGTTGAGAGATCTTCGCTTAGAGGCTAGAATATAGGAGTTTTTAATGGTCTATTCACTTACAGGAAAAATTTCGATACTCTTGTTCAGTGAAAAATATTCACGTTTGATACCATTGAACTAGACTCGAGCATTCATAATAGTATCAACGGGCTGAAATTTAAATTTAACAAGTTTCAAGGTGTCTCATGGTACTGGTGCAATGCTTGGTGACACTGATTGTTTTTGATGTAGGTTACGAACGACGAGGACGATTCATTTTTCAGAATTGGCGAATCCACCAATTTGTACCCTACTTCATTCCGCATGTTAGAATTGTGTCCCTCGACACTAAAGATTCACTTCTGCGTATATAGTTGGAACATTTTTTGTTGGAAGTTAAATTAAAGAAATAGTGCCCGTAACTTCTGGAAGCCGATGAATGTTCGGTAAATTAATTTTTTTCGCGAATAATATGTTGATTTGTGGTAGTTTGTTTAATAAGGCAATAGTGCAGGCCAGCGTCTGTTCATAATGTATAAAATAATGTAGCATTTTGTACACCTATATTTGACGGAATCTTATATTAGGACCTCATTGGATTAGTAACACTCTTCATTATCAAATTTCTTTTATTTTCTTTCCTTGTTAAACAAAATATCGAAATGCTTTAGGAAACATTTTTATGAACATTTTTAATTCATGCCTGTTCTGGTCTTGAATTCACCACAGCAATTGTGGTAGCTGTTCCCAACTCTACAATATGTAGCAAAATGAAGCATATCATGACAAATATCTATGAAAAGAGACATTTTTTAGGAGACATTTTTACTGAACAGCAAGATCTGTCCACCTTGCTTCTTGAGGAGTGCTTTCGTAACTTTATTGCCATTCAGTACTGCAAAATTGGACCTAACCAGTCAAGCTGTTCACGAATTCTTAATATCCTTCATATATATTTACAATAGATCATATTACACATTTGAAGAACTTTGGTCTAAGACTCGAAGCGGACACCAAAGTCTAAGACTCAGTCCAGACAAATCAGATCGTCATCGCTGCCGTCGTCAGCTCGATTATGGCCTCTCTTGTGTCCATCTTCCTCGTCCTCTTCTTCATCGTCATCATCTTCATCATCATCATCATCCTCGTCGTCGTCATCATCATCATCCTCGTCTCCTGGAATGTTGACTCTAGGCCCCACTTCTCCCTCGGAATCAGAGTCCATTGGTTCCTCCTCGTCGTTTTCATCGTTCCCGTCATCCTCAGCGTTGCCTTCATGACGGTCTCCTCCGTCACTTTCTTCTTCCTCGTCGCTGGCGGGAGCGGGACCATGACCCTGGATTGGAGATGAGCGATCGCGCGACGCGGCTTCAACCACCATCGTCTGGCGGCTGAACAAGTCAATGGTCACCGCCGAGAGCAACGCGGGGTACGAATTATCGTGTTTGAGGTACTCATCCATATAGCATTCAATCGCATTAGTATTACTGTACTCTGTGGACAACATGTTGATCTCTCCGTTGGACTGCATCTGTGGAGTAAAAGTAGAAGATACCTTGAAGCAAAGTAGCATAGTGTCGACGATACTAAACAAGAGCAGGGACAAGGTATTTCAAATACCTAATTAGTAAATTATAGATCAATTTATCAGATCTGACGTTATTTAACCATCTCGTTATGAGAAAAATGGAATGAATTCATAACGAATAGAGGGTAAGCACGAGTTGGTGGATAAATTTATTCATACCTTGCAATTGCTTTATCAATAATTCTTCACTTTCATCTACTTTATTAGCTTAAGACGCAATTGGTGCAGGCCTATACTTCCTGTGATCAATGTCATGCTTCCCTAAAGGCCAGATAGTGTGGTTAATTTCAGCAAGGACCCAAACGCTACATCTATTATATATAAATTACGTGTTTTTTCAAACAGTATGCTGCTAATATATATATAGGCTATTCGAGTGCAAATCCATAATAACTACTGTGTCGTGATATCAACGGGACAAATTTCAATCTTAGCACGGAATGATGAGTCATTGCGAAACGAGTTGAAAGGGGGTAACAATCTTTTTTAATTTATATTAGGAATTCTAACTTACGTTATAAAATAGATTTATTCAAATTTTTGAAGCAAGAGTGAACTAGAAATTCGTCGTTGAAGATGTATTTTGAAGTCTAACGTGCCAAGATTCCCCGGGATTTAGGTGATCATTAAATACCTGGAACATGAAGTAGTCGTCTGGGCTCTCGGCGTAAAGGCTGGACAACTTGTAGCAGTTGTTCTCGTCGGTGGGCACGACGAGATAGCCCATAGTGCTGTACACAAGCTCTCGCATCTCCCTGCTCTTCGCCGTGAAAGCTTCGTTGATGCGCTGTTGCTTCTTTTCCATATTGTGCAGTTCCTTCTCCAGTTCTGCATAAATACCACACTATTAGAACTACCGATATACCAGGGGCATTCAATTAATTTATTTAGCAAATTACAATGTCGACCGAAATTGCGTGCAAGCAGGTTCAAATGCACGGTGTTATTTTTAGACAATGCGTGCCCAGCATTAGAAAAATCAGCACAAAAATGTTTCATTGTGAAATGCTCCATTAATTTATTCCGTAACAAGAAAGAAAATACTTGTAAACTGTAGAAAGTTCATATATTCATAAGCGTTTCACAGATCAGATAACCAAAGCAAAGGGCGATACTCAAATCGAAAATCATCAAGATTTGAATGTTATATAAAAGATTAATCTATAATTTAATCTTTTTCATGAAAACGACAAATGAACAACTTCATTCGCCATCATGATCATTAGGATAGATTTATAGATTTTCTGCTAAAACCAAGCAATCGTACACATTAAAAAGCTTAGCCTATTATTCTTGTCTATTTTATTCGTATCAATAATCCTGGTGACTAGCTACGTCAGAAAACAGTGCTAAGAAAGATAAGTTATCATGTAAAAATGTTTGAAAATTCTAACAAACTTTTTGGGGTTTTGATTTCTTTAAAATAAAATTACTTATTTTTTATCCTACACCAACACAGTCCCTCACCTTGCACTCTAAGCTTATCGGAATTGTCTGCATTCTTTGGTGCGTCTGAATGCTCCCCACCACAGAGCTGTCCTGCTGACGCAGCAGCGAGCTGCTCCTTGAGACGCTGCACCTCCTCTTCCAGCTTGGCATTCCGGTCTTCGTAATTAGCTACAGCTTCACTCATCGGATTTTGCCTGAGAAAAAGAACGCACTTATTTCACCAGTTCGAGAGAAACTTAGCTGAGAGGATATATATATTTTTTTGACATTGTTAATGGATTGATAAGACAAAACAAAAAAAAATTGGTTATGTTATTGTCTATACTGAAACTCTGAACGCGAGAGAACGGATGGAGGCCAATGATAGTTTGAAAAATCTCTTTCAAAATAATGATAGATCAAAGAAGCTAGATGAAACGATTATAAATTTTCAAGCAATGTATCATACGATGATACGAGCGTCTATTCACACTGAAGCATTTTGCACAGTTATATTTGGCCGAATCTTATATTGTTAGGGCAACATTGGTTTGGTGCACTATACATCAATCCTTTTTTCCAAATGTCTCATTGAGATAAGAGTAACGACTCGCAGATACGATAAAGTCGATTCCATGTATCAAAAATACATGCGAGTATGTACAGCACGTTAACTTGGGACGGACATCAAACTTACTTCATGTGCAGCGCGTTAACTTGGGACGGACATCCAACTCACTTCATGTGCAGCACGTTAACTTGTGACGGACATCCAACTTACTTCATGTGCAGCGCGTTAACTTGTGACGGACATCCAACTTACTTCATGTGCAGCACGTTAACTTGGGACGGACATCCAACTTACTTCATGTGCAGCACGTTAACTTGGGACGGACATCCAACTTACTTCATGTGGAGCACGTTAACTTGGGACGGACATCCAACTTACTTCATGTGCAGCACGTTAACTTGTGACGGACATCCAACTTACTTCATGTGGAGCACGTTAACTTGGGACGGGTCGTAATCGCCCTTCAAGGCGCGGTGCTCCAGTCTGTACTCCAGCACGTCCCTCTCTTCCTCCAGCTTGGACACTTGCTCTTTAAGCTTCGTCACCTCCTCCCGCAGACGAACAAGCTCGGCGCAGTCTTTGCTGCTCATTGGAGCCTAGAAAGAAAGGTTTCTTCCATTCATTAAATAATCTTAGCTCGATTACAACAATTTCATTTATTCTCTACTCATGAAGATAAAATTCCTGAAAATGTTCATTTTTTGAAAAATTTACAAATGTATGCCTGTTTTGTCCATATTCTGGCAATGCTATTCTTACGGAACAGGAAAGACTCACGGGTTGACCCGGCATGGGGGGCGCCTGCTGGTGGTAGTCTAGGCTTAAGACTCACGGGTTGTCCCGGCATGGGGGGCGCCTGCTGGTGGTAGTCTAGGCTTAAGACTCACGGGTTGTCCCGGCATGGAGGGCGCCTGCTGGTGGTAGTCTAGACGTAAGACTCACGGGTTGACCTGGCATAGGGGGCGCCTGCTGGTGGTAGTCTAGGCTTAAGACTCACGGGTTGTCCCGGCATGGGGGGTGCCTGCTGGTGGTAGTCTAGCTCCTTCTCGAGCCTAGCGAGCTCCTGCTTGTATTGCTGCAGGGTCTCCTCGAGGCTGCTCAGCCGCCCGCTGTTCAGGGCAGAGCTGCTGGTCATGGTCACCTCCGCCTCGTACGAAGACAGGATGTGCTTCAGGCTGTCACGTTCCTGTGCACAATTACACTGAGTAAAGTCTTTGTTCAATTCAGTTAAGTAGCAAGATATTACTATTCTTATACCATTATACTGTTCAAATTCATGTTCAATTCAGGTAAATATGAAGTTATTGCTATAATTATACAACTATAATGCATCAATACATTTATACTGCGTGTGTGCTCCATTATAGCGCCCAATTTCTACGGAGAAGTTTGTTCTATCACCGTTCTATACAAGTCACCTTGGACACAAGGAGCTTATTCTATCATAATATCATTGAGATGATGGATGATACAAGTCACCTTGGACACAAGAAGCTTATTCTATCATTGAGATGATGGATGATACAGGTCACCTTGGACACAAGGAACTTGCAAGTCTCCATCATTGAGATGATGGATGACACAAGTCACCTTGGACACAAGGAGCTTATTCCATCACTGAGATGATGGATGATACAAGTCACCTTGGACACAAGGAACTTGCAAGTCTCCATCATTGAGATGATGGATGATACAAGTCACCTTGGACACAAGTCTCTATCATTGAGATGATGGATTATACAAGTCACCTTGGACACAAGGAACTTGCAAGTCTCTATCATTGAGATGATGGATGATACAAGTCACCTTGGACACAAGGAGCTTAATCCATTACTGAGATGATGGATGATACAAGTCACCTTGGACACAAGGAGCTTAATCCATCATTGAGATGATGGATGATACAAGTCACCTTGGACACGAGAAGAAGTTTGCGCTGCAGACGCCTGGCAACGAGCAGATGTTTCTCAGCCAGCTGCTGCTGCTGCGTTGTGCTCTGGCGCGCCTCCCGCAGTTCGGCGTCCAGCACCTCGCTTCTGCTCTTGTGCGCTGCCAGGCTGCGTAATGTAATATGCATGTCAGGCACGGCTTTGTTTACATTTTATTGCATTGTTATTTTTCACGTTGTTATTGTTTACATTGTTTTATGGTTCACGTCATTGTTATTGTATTGTTCACATTGTTATTATTTACAGTATTAAAAAATTGGGCTCAGTTTATTAGGCTACACTACTGATCTTAAAATTTATTTTTATTGTTATCGGGTTTTTACACTTGGGGGTTAAAAAATGAGTCAACCTGATTCAGGTTCTAGGTAATCTTCATGGAAAATTGAGCTTACATTTTTAAGAAATTATATAACTGCCTTGAGGAGATTTATATTCATAGAGATAACTTCTGAAAATAAGAAAAATCAATATTTCATTATTCTACTAAATAAGCAAGTCATTCGAAAAAAATTACATAAAATTTAGTCCAAAAACATTTCTTGGCTGATACTCATAAGATATTACCAGATATTTTCGGTGACATTCAAATGTGATTAAATGAGACCTAACAGTTCATTTCATCAACCTGCAATTGATGCATTCAAAAGAGTTTACTATTGAAACATTCTCATTGAATAATTATAACCTTTTTAGCGCATTTTCTCATTTATGGAAAAAATGCACTATTGTGCTCGCCATGTCCATCCGTCCGTCTGTCCGTGACCTCAAGTTTTTGTCGACGAGAAAATGTGCTCTCTGTCACTCACTGCAGTGAGTACTGAGTTATATTTTTTTATAACATTTTCCTCCCTATCTGAACAAGTTACATACATACCAATGATACCAATAAATCTATAAAATAATAACGTTAAGCTCAAGGCTGTGTACAAATAATAAATTTATGTCGCGGACATGATTGCCTCCAATCATTTCCGAAGAAACGTGTGTGCAAATTTTTTGCACTGAAAAAATAGCATCATGGTTGAAGGTATTTGGAACATCATAGTTAGTGACCAAGAAAATGTTCAGTAAGAATGTCCAATTTTCTAAACGAGACTCACGATGACCAAAGAATACAGATTTTAAAGAGTCATATTGTGCTTAGTGTAAAACGGAAAGTCATATATACTACGAGAAAGCTATCACCATCAAGCTAAGGATGAGTGAGTGGCCACCATGAGTGTTGAGAGGCTCAATAAAAAGTCTCACCTTTCCTGCATGGTAGCAATGGCATCAGTGAGGCTCTGATCACTGGCGCGCAGACGCTTCAAGACCTCCCGCAGCACCTCAGGCTCAGGGGCGTCGGCCAGACACAGCTCTGCACGCAGCACCGACCTAAGCTCTCCCAGCAACTCCTGCAACAAACTCACGTCACATCGTCGGCGCACTTAGCTTATACATGCGTCGCACCAGCGTCTTACATGTAAGACGCAGGGGGGACACTCGTGTTTGGGGTAAGATTATACATAGTATGCGTCGAGTGTAGCATAATAAATTAATAATACATAGTACAGTATAAATACCTACACAGTCAGTATGAATAATAATACATAGTATGAATAGAAGGACGACGGTTACAGTCATATTCTTGGTTGAGATCATAAGACACACTTGCTCCGTATGCACCCGAGAGAAAAAAAGAATATCCTTACACGCCCAGTTGTCCCACACGACGCCATGAAGAGATGGCTTTCTATTAATATCAGGGCAACTTAATGAACATTGCTGGGTGTATTGAATATAATTCAGAAGAGGATTGAGGTAATCGTTGCGCGTCAGCCCATATTGAGGAATAATGAACTAATTTATAACCTTTCCTCTATGCATCCTACTTTTTTAGAAAGACATCACAATTTAACAACAACTTCAATAAATGATTTTCCCAAGCTTCATGTTCAGTTAGACATAGTAGTATACGTTAAAATTAGATTTTCTTCTAGAAAAAAGTTCAGTGCCACCCACAAAACGTACACCAAATTCTTTCTGACAGGCAACAAGGAATTATTGCAGCCGAAACTTGTTTAGGTTTACCAAGAAGTGATGGAAATTTGTTTTGACGATACATACTACTCCATCGTTTTGAAAATAGACGTTTTATGCATGAAACTCTCAATCATTTTAGCATTAAACGTTGAATGCACACAAGTCCTATTATTAAATAATAATTGACATTTCAAATCAGAAGAGACGAGAAACCCACAGACCTTAGTGGCGTCAAGCTCGGCTCTGAGTTTCGCTGCATCGTCGCAGCGCTGCTGTAGCAAAGCGATCTGGTCGCCAGCGCTCGCCACCTGCTCCTCCAGCAGACGAACGTTCGCGCTGCATGCCCTGTATAGTGACAAACCAGAGATTTTTTTAGAATCAGTTTATTTTTAACTTCTCCATTTACACAATTTATTAATCAAATTCTTATGTATGATATGCTGGTATCCATGATACTTTACATACTTCTCCATTTACACAATTTATTAACCAAATTCTTATGTATGATATGCTGATACTTTACATACTTCTCCATTTACACAATTTATTAACCAAATTCTAATGTATGATATGCTGGTATCCATGATACTTTACATACTTCTCCATTTACTCAATTTATTAACCAAATTCTTATGTATGATATGCTGGTATCCATGATAGCACTTTACATGTTTACTTTTAGGTCTCAAGAATGTGATGGTGGTGGAGAGTCTAGAAATACTCTCTGCTTTGCCACTATGAATTGCCCTGTGCAGGAATGCAATCATTATCTGTACGACAGGTCACGAAAAATGCCGTAGCTATTGCCTAAAATTGTTTTAAGATGTTGGTTCCATGCGGATTCCTGTCACAAAATGTTTGCTTCAGTAACGTTCTTGTCATTTGTTTGCTTTAGCAATATTATCGGTAGTTGGCTTCAGCAAGGCACATGTCTATACTTGATTTCGGTAATGATCTTGTCAGTAGCTTGCTTCCGTAACATTATAGTCCCTAATTCACTTACAGTTACGACGTTCATGTCGCTAGATGCACTCAGTAACGACGACGACTAATATGCTTCAGTAATTTCACTGAAACCTGAAATTCAAGTAATTTGTTCAAACCACGAACCTGTCAATTAGTGAAACATTAGTGGCGTATCTTTGCTGACATCGTAGCGGTGGGAAACATTCAAAGAAGGAAGGTGAAGTTTTTTTTCATTTTGGTATATTAATTTTCAGAATTAAAAAATCTGTTGAATGATGGATTTGAACCAAACTTCAGAAACAATTAGGAATATTTACCTTTCTTCAAAGATTTTCGAGCAAAGCACTAAAGTTATTTTAATTAGAATCTTTTTTTCATCTCTTGCAACTTCATATCTGTAATTTCCACTTCAAATGTTCTTAGGACCAGTTTTTCCATGTAATTACAACTCAGGATATTATTTGGTAAAATAATTAAACTTCTGAAGCGAGATAGAACACCAACAGAAGTATATATTTACCTGAGCATGTCATTCTCTCTAGTTATACGTGACAGCTGTCGCTCCAAGTCTGGCACCTTCTGTACACACTCTTCATATGTTGCAGCAAACTTCTCCTGCTTGGCAACGTTTTCTAGTCTCACTTCCAGCTCCTGAAATATAATTTTGTATTTCAGTACTAAACTCGCTAAAACAAGAAATTTACCATAAATATATATTCACTAAAGCAGCAGGTATAGGTTATTTTGGCAGTCAAACTAGCAGAACTTTAGCAGAATCCTAAATATCTCGCAAGTTTTACCTTACACTCATGTTGAATAAAGCTCCACATAAAATTTTTAACTTTAATGTTAATAATAATTCTTGAATTTATGAATCACTAATAGCCCATACTGAGATTTCGGCACAAAATAGAAGGTCAATTTCGCAATGTTGTGTGAACAGTTGAGATTCTCAGATCAATGCAACAATAATGTTTAACCTTTTCTATAACTAAGTATGCAAATGACCCAATATTTTATGCAAACTGGAATATGTCAGATTTCAAAGTATAAAAACCTACCTTCTTAGCAGCTTGTTCTTTCTGTAAGCCGAGCTTGATTTCGTCTAGTTTCAACAGTTCCAGCCGCAACTGCTTTAGCTGCTGCAGGTGATGTGCTGCCTGACTCTCAAACTTTCGGTTTTGAGCTTCAACCATGTCAAGCTATAACGAAATATATCCATTTAAATTCTGTTCTGAATTAAAGAAATTAATTTTTTTAATTCTTCATATGCATCACTTAAAGCCAAAATAATAAAACCATTAGTTAAAGCTAACAATATAAGTTACATTTGTACCAAAATTAAAAACATCAGCCATGGTATAATTGCATGAACATAAATACACTGTAGCGCAGTACCGCACCTCACAAGACTTGTCGTGCAGTTTCTTCAGAGCTTCTGACAATTTCTCGCCCTGGGAGCACAACTCCTGTGGATAAATAAAACTGTAATAATATCCCAGAACTATTTAGGATTTAGAGGCAGAAATAATAGTAGCCAGAATCAATTCAGGATGTAAATAATTTGTGGTAACAGCTCTCTATAATGAACACAAACTATTCAGTTCTGTAAGAAATCTATATCATAATAAGTATATGTATTTGCTCAACCACATAATGCTCGTTTCTATCTATCCAGAATTATTGCTTTAAGATAATAATAGAAACATTAGTTAGTTCGTTTATGATACTATAAATCATTTCAATGGTAAAATGTTTCAACTGTTCTCATCTTGTTGGATCAAACGTAAGGAGAAGCTCAAGTTCTAAAGCCATTAGCCTAAAGTCCTAAACTACGTAATCCAGCAAAACCGATACACAAAAACAACATATTGTCAAACAGTCAAAGTAACAGTGAGATACGTATTAGAAAAAAAATATGAGTAGAAATTATAGAATTTAAAGTTCTTTTTAGATACCAGTAATAAAACTGTACACAATTATAATCTGAGAAATTTATAAGCAAAATAGTATCACTGAAATTCAACTTCTAACAAAAAGTAATACAGTATTGATACTGTCTCTCTCTAAAAGCCATTCCAATCTTAATCTTAAAATAGTATTCAAATCTTCAAGTACCCTTTCATGTAATAGTTATTAAATTGTATCAATTCACAAGGTACGTGTTTTTAGAATATTAAATGCTACCTCTCAACTGCTCCTGCTGCATCAAGTGCTTAGTGGCGTTAGATGCTACACGCTACCTCTCTCAACTGCTCCTGCTGTGCTGCGTATTGAGTGGTGGCTTCGGCAAGCTTCTGCAGGGTTTGAGCACGCAGCTGGCCAGTCTCCTCCTTCAGCTTGGCGCACACTTGCTCTGCTTGCTCAGCAGCCTTGCGTTCTCTCTTCACTTTCAGCTGCAGATCATCTATCTGGTAACAATTAAATTGCATAAAAACATTAAATGATGAATGTGAATTCAATTATTAGTTACACTAACAAAACTGAGAGGGAAGCAGATTTAACTTGAACATGGTTACATATGTAAATCAGAGGAAAACTTTTTGATCAAATTCCCTGCAAATAGTTGAATTTATCTTCAAACTAGCAACATTTCTATATAGACAAGCAAAGAAAAAAATAGTATCTTATTCGATACAGGGATATTAATTTATTAAAAAATATATGTCTGTTTAATAATTCTAGTAGATTTCATAAATTATTTTTTAATAAACAGCAGTACCGTAAAATGGGGTTACTTTGACCGGCGGGGTAACTTTGACCACTTTTCATTTTTTTAACAAAAACCCCCAAAACTCAAAAAAGATTCGACATAGAAAAATTTTGTCAATGGCCATCAAAGGCCTAATACTGAGGCTACGTAACACAATAGAAAGATTTAAAAAGTTTGCATATCTAATAGGTTGAAAAATTAAAAATGTGACCTAAGAAAAAGAGCTATTATTTAAGGCCTGTCGGAGTACCCCCTCCAATTTTTTTATTTTTTGGTAAAATAACTCCAGGTTTTGATGCATTGTATTAGAACACTTCTAGTTACATATGCAAAAGACAAATTTTAGGAAAGTGTCATAGTTTGCAAATGGGGGGCGCCACCCCCTAATGGGGGAACTTTGACCACCTGACGGCAGCCATGACGGGGTAAAATTGACCGGCTTGGAAATTAAGTTGAAATTACCATAGGTACCTATATAACATATTTTGTGTTTGATGCACCTATTAATGTTTTTTTCTTTATGTTTCAGACTCTACAGAGTCTTATATATGGTTATTTTAACTTAATTTCCAAGCCGGTCAATGTTACCCCATCACGGCTGCCATTAGGTGGTCACATTTTGCCCATTTGGGGGCAGTGCCCCATTTGCAAACTATGACACTTTCCTAAAATTTGTCTTTTGCATATGTAACTAGAAGAGTTCTACTACAATGCAACACAACCTGGAGTTATTTTACCAAAAAATAAAATTGATTTTACCACCTGGTCAAAGAAACCCCAAGAGCTGGGGTAACAAAGACCATCACTTTTTTTGAAATTACATCAAAACTATGAGAGGCAGGAGCCAGCAATTTATGGTGAGTAAAGCTAGAGTATAGACCTGTATTTTGCATGTCTCAATTTAAGGGGATCGACCTAGCTAAAATTTTTAATTTTGGCGTTTTTCGGTTTTTGGGCTCATCTGAAAGCTGGAATTCTGCTCTTTCCAATGGTACCACTGCCATCTCTCTACGTGAATATTTACGTTCATGACGTCTCTTTAAAGGGAAGCGGGTGAGAGAGTTCTTTAACTAATTGGATATAAAGTAATTAGCTGCTGAAATCTTTGAATATAGTTTCTACTTGAGTTGTGCTGCAGTTAAATGCTTAGTCTCATCTTAAAGCTGACATTCTGAGCTTTCCAACGATACTACTGCCATCTATGTACGGCAATATTGACGCAGATGGCCCGCCTTTATTTGTGATAATAACTGTAGAAGTTTTCAAAATGCTAGGTCGATCCCCTTAAGTTTAACTTATCTAGTAAAAAAATTGCATCATTTTGAAAAAAAAAGTGGTCAAAGTTACCCCATTTTACGGTACAAGAAATTCATGAGCAATGGTATTTGCAGCCGACCGTTAATTCATAAAACAATATATAAAATATTAGCATATGAGATTGGTCATTGATTGTCATATGAAACTAACCAAATTTTCCAATGATAATACATGAAATACATAATACAAAATACTCAACCAGAGTTTAAAGTAAGACTGAAAACAAATAGTCACTACTATGAATAAATTATGGCCAGGTTTATGACAGGTTGAAATTTTCCATAAGAAATTAATTGAATGAGCTCAACTGTCTCACCATTTCTTTGTCCCTGAGATTCTTGAGACGATGTTTTGAGAGTTCAGATTCATAGTCAAGCTTGAGCTTGTTGAGTTCAGTTGTGGCAGAGCTGAGCTCAATGGAGAGCTTTGTGTTCTCCATCTGGGAGTGAAGTAATTCAGCCTCCTTCTCCCGCAGCAGGCGGCATACGTCTGCCACATAAAGGTACTTTAGATCAATCACGCTCAATATATCAATACCATTTAAATTAAGACGAAAGAGAACTTGTGTACTAAAATAAAATGCACATACATTGTAAAAGGCAGCATTCCCAATAAAACTACTGTTAGGTACAGAAAAATGTTAGAAAATGAATTGATCAACTCATCAGCATTCTTAGTTAAACTTTAATCAAAATATTTCATTCTGTTAATTTTCAGAAAGAGCATAAATATCTTAATATCAGGAATATATTGTGGCCTGACTAATAAATAGATATATACAAACTATTTGAAGAGATGTGTTGAATTTAATGTACTTGAATTTTAAAAATGATTGAACAGCACAAAAATACCTACTCACCCAAGCCTGTTACTGAATCTCTGTGTTTCTTAAGAGTTTGCCCCATGCTATCTGGAGCCTTCCTCTTGATGCCACCACTGAAGGAAGTGTCCCTCATACTTCCATTCATGTCACTTGTCATGTCAGCAGCATTGGAAAAATTTAGCTTTTTGCATGTACTATCAGAACTATCCCTGTGGTTACGGCCACCTGAAGAACTTTTGCCAATAAATTTGTCCAGATCCATAAGGCTTCTGGCAATTACCGTGTATTCAGGAGACTCGTCCATCACTGAACACAATTTTCACAAACTAGATAAAAAATTATTTAATATTGGTAAAGATAATCTGTAAGTCTCATATGCTAATATGCTCCCTTAATCATTAACCTGCAAAATGGACTAATTATTTTCATAGCTGTAATTTGAAAAGCTAACTCTAAGCCTCATAGATTACTAAAATACTAAAATTAAGGGTGATCCAGGTATTTTTTTCAACTTTTTTAGTGATAATATTCTATTCAAAATTCATCTGAAATCCTCTCAGACATCAAGTCATTTATTAAATTTAGTGGTGTATTATGAAATGAAAAAATCAATACATCTTCCAACTCAAAAATAAATACTGACAATAAAAAACATAGGCATGTAGTTTTGAATATGACTTTCATCATATTAAAACTTACTGTACAAATGAATGCCTATTATTAAAAATTCATACTTTACATCAATGTATATGCAGATCTAATTTAATTATATATACTCAACCCAACACCAACACCTGTGCCACCATGGGCCCTTATCTTGTAGTTGTTCTGGGTTCATAGATGCATTCAGAGGTGGGCAGTAGCGCATTACATTATCAGTAGCGGTAGTGGCGCTACATTTAAGCAATTGTAGTGGTAGCGGATGAGCCCGCTACATATTTAAGTAGCAATACGAGGTTTTGCCGCCACAGCACTACTGCTATATTTATAAATAAAGCCTTTAGATTTTACTTAATAGTATTAAATATTATTTAAAAACCAGCATGATACATACTGTCATACAAAATATAAATTACAGAATAAAACTGTACAAAAGATTTTGGTGTAATGTTGTCAACCTCCGAGTGTTACTAGTGTCAACATGTTAGTTGTTACCAGAGGTGGGCAGTAGCGCGCTACATGTAGCGGCTGCTACATTTTCAGTAGCGGTAGCAGCAACACATTCAAGCAATTGTAGTGGTAGCGCCTGCTACATTTAGAGCATGTAGCGGTAGCGGCCACTACATTTAAAAGTATCGTTGCCCAGCTCTGGATGCATTATCTCATTTATCATTCCTCTTCTTAATATGTCCACTGGCCAGCATTAACATAGAGTAATTATAGTTGCCATCCTTTGAAAAGGTGATGCTGTGTCTGTGCTTGTATGATGTTGCTTAATGTTGGGGGCCATACCATTGCTGCTGATTGCTGAGGTGGTGCAGTGGTGAGAGACTCTGTCTCTTGCTCCCAGCTCCCGGGTTCAAGTCCCACTGAGGACAAGTTCTTCCGGGAAGCTCAGCTCATGGTCAACTCAGCCATTCATCCAACTCAGATTGATAAATGAGTACCTGGCTTGTGTCCAGGGTGTAGTGTAATGCAAAAAAATGTTTCTGACAGGTCACCAAGCCAGTGATGGTCGTGGAACTACCAGTGGCACAAAGTGCCCAGAAAACCTGACCTATCACCCCCTCCCTTACCTAGTTGCCACTACCAGGATGGTCAATTACAACAACTGCTGAGCTACGACTTTACAAGTGTGGCCATAATTTTGATGTTAACCACAGATAAATATAACAGAGTCATTGCAATCTGTTTCCAAAGATTATTGATACATTTATACAACTACAACAGTAATACTTTCATCAATGAGTTAATGTTTCAGCTAAGTTGACTCAAAACTGCCAGACCATGGGCATGGCATGGATGTAGCTATCAACCATGTTAAGGGACTAGAGAGCTCCAGATCATGTTTGCATGACAGAGACTTCAGAGAGAATGTCCACAGCCTCCAAGCCAGGCATGGAATATATCTACTTGGCAAGTTGGCAAACCGCAACTAGATTTTTTGAGCCGTGGCTTCATGGGTTTGCCAGTAGTGTTTTCATTTCTTCGAGCCGTGGCTTCATGGGTTTGCCAGCCGTGAAAAGCCATTTATGACCCAGACCCACACCACAAACTTGTTATTAACAAAGTCCCATCACTCCCATGGGCCATCCGGCCATGCATACAAAGTCCCATGTTATTTACAAAGTCCCATACAAAAAACAGTCACTAGCATTTGTCTTCACTTAAGCAGCAACTGTGCAAGTCTTATTTCACTGCAAGTGAATGAAGTGATAATGCAGTATGACCGTCCATTGACTCCATTCTGATGTAACCACAACTATGCAATCTAATCATGGAGGAAATGTTTTGACTTTTGAGTTGACTTGTTATTACATTCTGCATGTTATTTTGGCAGGAGGCGGGAGCATTGAAGTATATATACTGATTACTGTGGATTGTGGGAGCTGAAAGCCTGAAAATTCTATAAAATGACATGTTTGCAAAGTGCAAACCGTGATTTTTTCAATTGAACAACAATTTGACATTAGAGCTGTGAGATTTCATACCTACTGAAATTATATGATATTAGAGCAGCGATATTTCCTAAAAAATTGGACTTTTCCAGCCATGCTCCAACCAACAGGACTGACCACAGACCACAGGTATAAATTTTAGTTCCTTACAAGTTACAGTTACAGATGCATATTTTAATTTTAGCAGATACACCATCATCACCATGCATGAGCTAAAGAGTTCAGCCTATCTGATAATCTGCCTATGCCCTAGGCAGTCAGAACTCAGAGTGCAGTCCTCTTAGCTCAAATCTTAGAGCAACTTGTTTGATTAGTACTGCAAGTTACTTATTTACTTGGTTACTTGGTTAAGATGAGGCACGTCACCGACTGAAGTATTGGCGCCCCCATTCAGCTATCTTCGTAGATTACTAAATGTTGTCAAGCATGTTGGTGTCTTGGAGGTACTTGATAATCATATCAGCAGGAAATTCAGGGGCTATGAGCGAGGACAGGCTGAAGGAGACTCCGAGGCGGATGCAAGCAGCTTTCAGTTGGTTGCGATGAGGAGACAGTGCAGGGCAGTTAATGAAGAGGTGGTCAAGAGTGAGCCGGCATTGACATGAGGAGCACTGGTATGGGGGTGAG